ACATTGAATTTCCACCATAGCCCTGGTTAAAGATGTTGTGGAATGGGTGTCTTTTGAGAAGCTCACTCATGCTGTTCCTTTTATTTAGTTTTATATCATGACAGAAGATAAGCAGGTGAAGTGAGTTTTGCTCCCCTCGTCCACATTCACACAGTGGAGAATCAAATTTGCTGCTGTTGAACCGGTGAAGAAATTCATTCATGATGTTGTTGGGGTAGAACAGACTTAGGAATAGGGTTTCAAGTTGCCTTGTTGTTTTGGGCGGAAACTTAAGCTTTGTGGTGCTCACTGTAGGTGCCTCTGTATAACCTTCCAACTGATACTGGCTGTTTATGGAAGATTGCCAAAGCTGTTCACTGTAATGTTTCATAACCAATTTACTGTAGCTGCATCCTTTTGTTGATAAACTGGAGAATTTCTCAAGGTCATGGTTGTTTATGATGTTTTGATCCTCCTTGGTGAAGTGTTCAGGGTGTATCGAAGATTTCCACAATAGAAACTGAAATACATCTTTTATCTTTCCAGTGAGTGGGCTATAACTGCCTGATTGGGTTTGGGCATCGATGAGTTTTTTCAGTGGATCCTCTTTATCAGGAAATATATTTAGTTTTAGGAGGTGCTTCACCGAGTTCACTTTGTTTGATATGGTTAGTGGCAACACACCTAATATCATTTCAGCTGTGGACATTCTTACATTGAACACTGCACCCAAAGCTGCCTTAATAGTCCTATACCAAGCACTTTCGACTTCTTTGATACTTCGATTATTGATCCAGACAGTTCCAGCGTAATGAATTCGTGAATATATGAGAACTTCAATTAGCCTGACGATGACATGTTGTCTGAATCCCCAGTTGCGGTTTGTATATTTGCATATTGTAGCCCACCGGCCAAGTATCTTTCTGTTAATATCCTTTGCATGATCAATGTAAGTGAGCTTCCTATCCATTATCAAGCCTAATACTTTGGTCTTTTCGACAAACAGGATCTTGTTGCTGCCAAGATGAAATGACACTGGAAGAAGCTTTGCATCGTTTTCTGCGGTACCAAATCCAATTAGTTCAGTCTTTCCAGGATCACAGTTTATTATCATTCTCCACGTTATACTCCATTTATAGATAGCATCGCATGTCATTTGTAGGTTCAGAAGACACTGGTGTGTGGTTTCACCTCTGACTCTTAATGTTCCATCATCTGCAAACTTGTAAACCCCTACATCTGGGTTGAGAGAAAGATCTTGTGCAAGGTCATGTAAATAGAATTTAAAGAGAATTGGAGACAGTGCCGAACTTTGTGGTAGACCAAATTCTCTACATGCTCTAATGAACCCAGTATAGTTGTTGAATATAAGGCGAACTTTTCTGTTGAACAGAAAGCTGTTTATAAGTTTCCATAAACTTCCCAACACTCCAAAATCCGACAATTTTTTCATGAGACCTTTTTTCCAAACACTATCGAAAGCCTTTTCAAAATCTATAAAGAGACAGATGACCGTGTATTTCTTCTGAAGATGACTACGAACATCATTATCTAGTCTGTTTAGATAGCGAACAGTGTTGCGCTTTTTAGTGAACCCTTCTTGATACTCATCACTAAGGCCCTTCATCTTGAAATGTTCTTCTAATCTGCTGGCAATTATTTGTTCAAACACCTTACCGATATAGGATGTTATAGAAATCGGTCGATATGATCCTGCTTTGCTGTAGTCAGTTTTACCGTCTTTCTTTAGAAATATTACGTCAGCAATATCCCAAACCCAGTGGCCAGTCTTCAAGCATGAATTCAACAGTGTAAGAATACATTCACAGGCAGTTCCTCCCAATTTCTTTAACATTACAGGGTGAAATTCAACGTTATCAAAGCTTTTTCCTGCTGTTTGATAGTTTTTGAAGAAATGTTGAAGTTCACCTTTTGTTATCTCACGATTTAGCATATAATTTTCATCGTTGGTTGTGTACGTAGAGTCTTGGGGATCATTTTCATTACATTCAAGACATTCCGTATAAATTCTATTGACATCTTCATAGAACTTTGCATCGAAGTCTGTTCCTTTCTCCAGCAAATGTTTACCTGCGAAGAAGCTATCAAATAGAATTTCTTCAATATCCTTAGAATCTGTAATGAGATCACCATCTGCTTTCTTGAAGGGCTCTACCTTATTGTCACGTTTTTTAGAAAACATCCGATTGAATTCTTTCCAAAACTTTGTGCACTGGGAAGCGTTAAGATTGTTGGTTTTTGTTAAAATGAACTTTTGACACTCTTTTTTCCTTGTTTCATCAAACATATCTTTGGCATGATCTAGGGCAGCTTTGTTTGACAAAGTGTTACGTTTCATGTATAATCTTTTTGCTTCTCTAAGTGCTTTAGACATTTGGGAAAGTCTATCTGTCCAGTAAGGCTTGCTATGTGGTGTGGATTTCTTGTGTGTTGCAAACTTAGATGTTGCTGCATGGATTGTTGTGTTGATGATGTTCCATTGAGATGTAGCATCACTGTTAAAGAAGTCAGTTTTCTTAGCTGCTAGATCATCCTCAATATAATCTGACCATTTTGCCCAGTCGATTGAGCTTATGTCGATTTTCAGCTTGGGGGGCGCTGGTGAGTTTTCCGCACATACTGTTGATATTGATGATAAAATGGGCACATGACCACGTATTGGAGCACCTGAGAATAGTTCTGCATCAACATCTGTTTTCATATCAGTAAATAGATGTTCTGTTGCTGTAGATGTTATCATAAAGTCTATCAAGCTATTTCCATTGTCCGATAGAAATGTTGGTTCTGCACTACTTATGATGGTGTAGTCTTGAAACTTCAGTTCAGTGGCAATCTGCTTTCCATAAGAGTTATCAGTATTATCACCCCATATCTGATGTCTTGCATTGTAGTCACCAAAAGCTATTACTCCCTTGGCGTTCAATTGGGCAGACAGCTTCTTTGCACTTTCAAGCATAGCCAGTAAGTCCTTCACAGCATCTTTATAGTTAAGCTTAAGATAAACTGAGCCCACAATGAATCGGAATGCCTTCCCAGTAACAATGCTCCAAGCTGCATCAATGTTTTTAGATAGTTTCGATATTTCGACTAATGGTGTTATGCTAAGTTTTCGTGTGTTGACATATATCATTGCACCTCTGTTAATGGATGAATTGCAATCTGTTACATAATTCATGTACTTGAGATCTAGGTTGCTTTCATCAGAAGTGTATGATTCCTGGACAGCTAATATATCTATACTACTTTCATAACAGTACTTGTCTAGTGCAAAGCGACTTCTGTCCGACATCCCACAAATATTGATAGAACATAGATTATAACCAAGCTTGGTAGATAGTGTGGATCCACTGAGTTGAGGTGTAACCTTAGAATGCATATTGTGTTCGTTGTTTGATTTCATCCAGTTTCTGTTTCATCACTTCACAGGATTTGTCCCCAGTAATATGCCCATCCTTTTTGCAGTGAACACATTTCTTTGATAAGCTTACACATGCATTGCTTTCATGTCCTTTTTCGCCACACTTTCCACATTGGCTAGTTTCACTGCGGCAGCGCCTTGCAATGTGTCCAAAGACTTGGCATCTATTGCATTTGATTACTCTTGGAACAGGCTTAAACTCCTCAATCATGAATCGTTGTTCAATGATCTTAATCCTACTAGAAATACTTTCCAAGAGGTCTTTTCTAGTATTGAATGTCACCTTCATAGTCCCACTAAACGTGCCATTTCTCTTGAAGAAGTCTACATCGGATACAGCATTATATTTATCCATGATTGATTTTTTTATATCCTCTTCTGATGCATCAAGATAAACATGTTTCACAATTCCGCTTGTGTTCAAGGAATCAGGAGACACGACCCCTTCGTTACCACCAAATAGCTCTCTCTTCCAATTATCTGACACCGTTTTAGTTTCCTCTGGATTATCAAGTTCGATCTTGAAGGAACCCCCAGCAGTTACCCTGCAGTTCCTGATAATAACACCTGGATATTCCTTGTTGAATGCCTTCCTTATACCTTTACTGTCTCTGATGTCAGCATTCATGGGCTTCCGTACCAGTAGAGTTCTTTTGTTCCTTTCTTCTGTTTCCTCAACTTTCACAGCTTTGTTTTGTGTAGAGAGCTGTTTAACAAGTTGGTTTGTAGCCTTGTTAATATGCGACTTATTACCAGTAAGAGCAGAGGAATAGCTTTTTAAATCACCGATTTTGTCGATTTTGTCTGAGTGTTCTTCCACTTTGGTTGTCATACTTGTGACTTTTCGGTGAATACGCCTAAGCTGTGTAGCAACATCATTCATGGCATGGTTACAATTGGGACAAAATGTTTTGATATAGCTAGGGGAATCTTTGAGTTCATCATAAAGCTTAGCACTTATAGGGTGATCGTTGCAACTGTTATGAAAAAAGTTTTCACAGCCACTACAATGCAATCCAAACCCAGTATCATTGCGGTCATCTGTAACTTCACCTGCGCATACAACACATGGGTATCGTAAAGTTTTTTTACCATCTGCATTGGGGAAAATACCACTAACCGCATCATCATCAGTTTCAAAGTCAATAAAGTTCCCATTTCTGTCAAACTTTCCCAATATTGCACCATTCTCATAACCTGACAGATGTCTGCCAAAGATAGCGCTGCAACGAAGGAGCTCGAGCCGTCCATCTTCGTCGTAGGCACTTGGTGCTTTCAGGTGCAGTTTCTTTAGTATCAGGTTAATCTGAGGGATAGATAAATCAGATAAAGGTGTTGAGCTCATGATAGCTCAAAGCGAAGACTGGAACACGTCTAGAACAGGTTTGTTTCTATCAAAAAATCAAACTTAATCACCAACCGGAAAGGTTCAGAACTTGTGGGTCTGACTCCCTTAATAGATTTGTGAAGAGGGGAAGGAGAAGCAGGACTTCTCGGGTCTGGAGAGGAGAAGCAGGACTTCTCGGGTCTGTGCTATTTCACTTGTCACTTGTCGTCAGTTATCGTTCAACATTACACATACCTCAAATTATTTGTTATATAGTAGTGTTGAAAGTATTAAAAAGGTATAAAAGAGTGAAATCAAATCAATTTAATAATTAAATGTAGCCTCACCTGTAGTGGGGGGGGGGCCAATGGCATAAATGGAGAAAATGGAGAATTACTCATAGGTTTTTCCATTTTCTCCATAGAAATAGTCTCCATTTTATGCCATTTTATGCCATTTTATGCCATTGAAAACCTGAAAAATTTAGAATTTCGAGAAAAATTATTTTTAAAATAGATATTTTCGGCCAATAATGAACAGAGTATCATGAAACATGGAGAAAAGTGGTTTTCAGAAAAAACTTTGAAAAATGTTGACTTAGAAAATGTTCGGTCCGAGTCATTTTCGATATGTACCTCCCGTATCGAGAGCTCCCGATTCCGAGCTCGTGTTGCAAAGGGGAGGCCTGCCTTCCGAGATCGCATTACTTCGAGTCCAAAATTGTGTATCGAGGGGAAGGTGTGGACTTCGAAAAACCGAAAAAATATTTTCGGCAAATAATGAACAGAGTAGCATGAAACGTGGAGAAAAGCGGTTTTCAGAAAAACTTTGAAAAATTTTCACCGAACAAATATTTTCGTCTTATAATGAACAAGGTAGCATGAAACGTGGAGAAAAGCGGTTTTCAGAAAAACTTTGAAAAATTTTCACCGAACAAATATTTTCGGCTTATAATGAACAAGGTAGCATGAAACGTGGAGAAAAGTGTTTTTCAGAAAAACTTTGAAAAATTTTGACTTAGAAAATTACTCCTCGGTACACAATTTTTGACTCGAGGCTTCCCCCTGGTAATGCGATCTCGGAAGGCAGGCCTCCCCTTTGCAACACGAGCTCGGAATCGGGAGCTCTTGATACGAGAGGTATCCTCTTAAATCGCCTAATTTGTTCAATTTTAGGGAGGGGCACCAAAAGGAGAGGGGGCGCCAACAGGGGGGCGCCTTTTCGGCAGGGGGGCGCCAACAGGCAACGTTACGCCACTGGAGGTACGTATCGAGAATGACTCGGGCCGAAAATTTTCTAAGTCAAAATTTTTCAAAGTTTTTCTAAAAACCACTTTCCCCACGTTTCATACTACCCTCTTCATTATTAGCCGAAAATTTTTTTGGTTTTTCGGTTTATCGAAGTCTGCCCCTACCCCTCGATACACAAATTTGGATTCGAGGCTTCCCCCTGGTAATGCGATCTCGGAAGGCAGGCCTCCCCTTTGCAGTGCGAGCTTGTTTCGACTGTCGAGGATGTAGGTCTCACTTCTCAGTGCCTATTACTCTCCCCTATTACTCACTCCTGCTGTAGCCTGTAGAAATAACTTTACACTAGGCTTGAGTAATTATGAGTTTGCCTGAAGTGTGCCTCTACTAACCTAGTATAAGCATCTAGTAGCCTACTATGAGCTTTCACAAGCTTGTTACGCCCCTAGTAAGTGTAACCCCTAGCGTAACCCCTAGTAAAAACAGTGTAAATGATTTTTATTTTTGGAATGTTTCGAACGAAGTTTTAGGGAAAATTGAAGGACCCAGTTATTTAAGCAATAAGGAGACACATAATGAATATCTTTGGTTTCATACTTTTGTGGCAAAGAAACGTTTTATAAATCTTTATTCCACTGGGAAGTTTTAATTTATTATTTATATATAATGCATTAGATTTTATTAATTAATAAAATTGAATTTAATAAATTATTAATGTTGATGGAAGAATATATCTATTTGAATTATTTTTCTATTTAGTGCAATGATATTTTTTTAGACACTTGTGATGATGTAATGTCATAATCTTTACTTACTTACTTACTTACTAAGCGTAAATAAATATGTTAGGATGTCCAATTTAGGTGTTAAATGGTGTTAAAGATGAAATTTCAAAGACAAAATTCATGGCATAAAATGGAGAAAATGGAGAATTACTCATGGGTTTTTCCATTTTCTCCATAGAAAAAGTCTCCATTTTATGCCATTGGCCCCCCCCCCCCCCCCCTGTAGTGTAGTTGCCAATTTATATATGATTTATATATCAATTGACAGGTTAAAGGGGATCACATCGGTGCCCCCCCCCCCTGCTGAAAAAGCGCCCCCCTGTTGGCACCCCTTTCCCTTTTGGGTGCCCCTCCCTAAAATTGGACAAATTAGATGATTACAGAGGGTCCGCCTTTAAAATCTCTAAAAAAGTGTGTTTCTAGAGCAAATCGTTTAGTTTTGCTAGTACCGCAGTTAATTTTTGCAAATTGTCCCACATTCAGATGACAATTTGGCGCCCCCCTCAGATGGCACCCTCCCCCCACAGCAGGGTCGGCAGGGCCCTTCGTTGTGCCACTGGATTGCATGCTGTGTGCCATTTAAAAATAGAAATCTTCAATATTTTCACCCTATTAAACTTGAGCTTTGAGCTCATCAATAAAGTACAGTAGATTGTGCTACAGAGGTGCAGGAGTCAGTACTAGAAATAATGTCAATCATAAGATTCGCATGATGTCAATCATAAGATTCGCATGATGGAATAAGGTTGAAAGAGTTGAACAGCTATTCCACTGACGTCTTGAATGGCCATGAGGACACTCTGAAGTAGAGAGTTGCAAAGTCTTGTTATTATAAAGCCCATTACATGGGCATATCACTTGCCTCTTGTCCGATATATTTGGCTGTTACCCACTTTACTTTACTGTTATCATCAGTTTTCCAGAACCAATCTTGATAAAGGTCTCTTTCCAACTTCTCGTTTCTCGCATCAGAGCAGTAAGACTGACAGATACATTTGATGGGGAAAATTATATGGACCAGACACCTTGACGTCAAAGAAAGTGTGCTCAAATGCAGACTGTAGTCCATGGGCAGATATTGATTTGATATCCCTATCCCGAGGGGATTTTTTCAATTGACAACCTTGTGTCAATAACACTTTAGGTCCATGCTGTATTGTTGGCAGTGTGTAGCAGCCCTAGGAGTGACTTTTTTGTACGAGTGACTTTTTGTATGACCTTCGGCAAGGCTAATACTATAGGAGTAGGCAAGAAGCTTGAGTTTTAGTGCTATTGTGATCTATTCTGTTGCTGATCATTGATCAAACTTCAGCACACTCTCAAAACTGCTTGCCAGGGAAACTAGGACAGGAGTCATCCACAGGTTGAGAACTTTTGAGTCATCGCATCCCCCGAAAGGCCCAGGTAGATCTCTGAGGCCTGAGCTATTGTTGATACATTTTGAAGATGTGAAAGACGAATATATACATTTTTTGAGCTCAAAGCAAAAATTTGACTTTCCTTGTGCATACTCAGTCCTATCTTGATAGGCAACAAGTCCTCAATTGAGAACTGCAGAAAATATCAAACTATGCACAAGATAGCTAGATCGATTTCTTGCAATAGGCAGGCCACGCGAGCACTGGCTGGAAACAAGATGTACCCAACGCCTCCCCAGCACTACCATGGTGGCTACAGCAGTGGGATGAACCACATGGTTAACCAGTTCAGTGGTAAGTTAATTTTTTCAATTCTAATCACTAGGTTATTAAGTTAACTTGTTATTACCAGGTTTTTATTTTAACTTGGTAAATTACTGTTTTTATTTTTTGCACAAATAGTAATTTCTGATTCGTGACTTGTTGAATTGTTTAATTTACGGAATTTATTGTACCAGACCAAATTATCTCAGTTTTGCTCTGTATGACTGATGTTTCCTTTCAGAGATGAACATGTCTACTCGCAGTGGTGGCCGAGGACGTGGCCCTAGTGTTCCCAGGTATCCTGGAGTTCGCATGTACCGGGACGATTACAGGAGAGATCGTCCAGACGACCGCAGATCTAACCGTTACAATAATGACGATGAGGGTGGTGATAATTACGGAGGCAACAGTTACGGCGGTGGAAATGATTATTATAACAGCGGGTATGTAAGACAATATATTTCGTGTGGTGTTTCTTTTCCGTTTTATACCGAAATTATAAACAAGTATTAAGAACAAACATCTTGTCTGAGCATATAATATCAAAATTGTAATAAATTATTCTCAGACCCAGAGGTGGATACAACGGAGGTGGTGGTGGAGGTGGAGGAGGTAGAGGAAGAGGAGGTATGTACCAGAACATGCCCCAACATGGCGGGGGACGAGGGGGTTACTACCCACGCAACAAGTTCCAACCACCAAATATGGGGGGAGCTGGCGGCGAATTCTCTCCCTACCAAGGAAATATGAGACGTGGTAATAGTCGAGGTATTGTCCCTTTTTACAGTTATTGTTTTTCTGATGTATGGGGTTATCTTTAGTTTTAGTATGTAGATCTGACGGGAAGGTATCTGGTGTGAAATTAAGTTGTTTAAAAATCGGGGGAAGGAGGATAAATATACTGTTGATAGAAGGGTTGGTTTGGGGAGCAAGTTCACTTTCATAACACAAACCTGTCAGGTGACTTCCAAGGAGGTAACGATTGGAGGGGCGGGTTCGGCGAGCAAGTTGAGCGAGACGATTTCTACCCTGACAGAGTATCTACCCACATTCTCAACAGCAGTGAGAGATACCAGAAGGATTGGAGTATCATGGCTCCCAGAGACGTCGCCATGGAGAAGTTAGTTCTTCTTATTGACTTAATTTATTTAAAATTGGTCATATTTAATTTACAGTTCTTAATTTCGATCATCATAGCTATGTAAATATAATAAAACGCCTAAGCCCTAGCATTACTGTCGTTTCATAAATTTCTTTCAGCAAACTATTCAAGAAACAATTCGTACAAGTAGAGATTAACTTTGATAACTGGAAGAACATCCCGGTTGAAACCTCTGGAACTAACCTACCTGAACCAATCAGCACATTCAAGGATATTGGACTAGGTTAGTTAAATTAAGATTCAATTTAATCATATTTTTGTTTATAAAGTGTACAATGGTCTTAGATGGTGGTACAAATTGATTCCGAAAGACAGTTTTAATTTAGAGTATAATGGTTAAAAACCCCTGGCCCTCCCCACTTTATAACATTAAACCCACTCAGGAGAGATCCTGGAGAACAATATTAAGTTAGCTGGAATTCTGCAACCTACCCCTGTTCAGATGTACTCTACTAGCATCGTTAAGAACGGCCGAGATCTCATGGCTTGTGCCCAAACAGGTAATCTCTTTTGCACCTATATTTTACCATTTAATATCGAATATTTACATTTAAACCGGGATGTGAATACTTGGTATACGGAGAACGAAATATTGCACATAACCTAGATAAGATATTATCACACTTTCGAGCCAAATTTGGCAGGAAAGCAGAATTGATATTACATGCCCCGATGCAATGGGGAGCAATGGCTCTCACCCGGGGGCATGAAATATCAATCAGTTGCTCAGAGAGAGCCCGATATTCCCATAGAAACAAGGAGCCCACTCTCAACAACTGTTCTACTACTGTGAGGTACTGATTTAAATAATGATTTAAATCAACAACCTGAAGTAGTCTATGACCGTAAATGCAATGATCAGATAAACTTTCCAGATTTAGGAAAAATATAAATTTATACTTTGTTTTAAAAACATTTCCTTGCGTTTGAGATGTGTTAAGCAAAATACAATTTTTTGTTGTAAAACTTTTTCAAGCTGTTGTTTTTTTACTGCACTTCATAGTTCAAAATCTAATTAGGCTTCGGATGATGAAACAAAGTAAAAACTCCCTGGTTTGTACGAGTTTCAAGCGACTTAAGGTTACTGAAAACGAGATCAAAGTTTACAAGCAGACTTGAAAGTTGCACAAAGTTTTGGTACTTGTCAGCGATACAATCAATCAGGCTCATTAATTTCCTTAATCGCTTACTTGAAATTAAAAAGGAAGTGTCAGAACAAACTACAGTCACCCTCACAAAAAGTAGTAAAGACAAAAACGATGTTTGATCTATTCGAAGGAAGAAAACACACAAAACAAAGCCAGATTTCAGCCATTTCAGACCTGAATTTTAACCCCCTCTGATCCCTTCTTTGAGCCATATTCCATATAGAAATTGTGCAGAAATTATACTTGGCTTTTCCATTTTCCAAACCGGTTTCGCCTAGATTAGCTTGCGAAATTCGTGGCTGATCTATAAACAGACTGATAAAGAGACTTATAGATTCTGTACAATAAAGAGCGAAAATTCTATCCCAGGACTAGTTTTAACTGAATTTTAGTTAGTGCAAATAAGTGCAATAAAAACATCCTATAAAATATATTATCTATATAAATATATCAAGGGACGAATGACGTAACTTAATCAGCTAATCTGGTTATAAATTAGTCTGGGCACTGGGGCAAACAGGTCCGATGATTAATGTGCTGCCATTCTTTAGACAATTCAATATTGGTAACAGTACGGGTGAACTACCTGGCCATGACCAGGGTGGTTATAGGCTGGTGGAGTACTGCGTTCTAAAATGTTGAAGAGATACATTTGAATATTACAAATGTTCTGATAATTTCCAGTTCAGATAATTTCTAGCTCGAAGCAGATAATGGCAAATAATGGCAAGTAAAGATGAATACTGACTAAGAACTAAGCAGAATACTCGATAAAATTCTAAGTCAACGATTACAAGTTGCATTAAATCATTCTGAAATAACAGACAATCAAGAATCAAGACGGACGATAATATTGTTGATGTAAATTAGGGAGTGTAGTGTATAATGTGGACTGATAAATAGACACTAATTATGACCCCACAGCTCTATTCAAATTTAACAACCAGGAAATTCTTTCACCTTATCGCAGATACAGATTATACGATAAGGACTGTGATGTATAATCAACACTTAAACGGATGTTCTATACATTATACATCTACAGTTTTAATGACTCTAAAAATATCTAATAGAAATAAAGTATTAGAATCACCTCACATCGATTGATTTGCAGGATGTAATTTAAATTACGTATCAAACGCGCTCGCGGCGGAATATTCTAGACTCATAAGTACAAGACCCATAGGCGGAAAACACATTAATATCGCATGCACTAGGTAGCAGTACAAAGCAAATTCAGCGCGGCACACAGCATTCACTGTGTCATAAATGTGAAACGCGAGATTCTAATTTCACATATTGTATCTTTAATATCTGAAATACTAACTTATCGAGAGCTATATATAGCTTGGACATTATAAACATAAATAAGTTCGACATGTCTAGTTTTGCTTTGGTGAGATTTATAACTAACGTTTGATCAAATTCTGCTTTCCAGGCCAAATATGGCTCCAAATAATGGCAAATAATGGCAAATATGGCAAGTAAAGATGTATATTGTATACTGACTAAGAACTAAGCAGAATACTTGATAAAATTCTAAGTCAACGATTACAAGTTGCATTGATTAAATCATTCTGAAATAACAGACAATCAAGAATCAAGACGGACGATAATATTGTTGATGTAAATTAGGGTGTGCAGTGTATAATGTGGACTGATAAATAGACAATCATGGCGCCACAGCTTTATTCAAATTTAACAACCAGGAAATTCTTTCACCTTATCGCAGATACAGATTATACGATAAGGACTGTGATGTATAATCAACACTAAAACGGATGTTCTATACATTATACATCTACAGTTTTAATGACTCTAAAAATATCTAATAGAAATAAAGTATTAGAATCACCTCACATCGACTGATTTGCAGGATGTAATTACGTATCAAACGCGCTCGCGGCGGAATATTCTAGACTCATAAGTACAAGACCCATAGGCGGAAAACACATTAATATCGCATGCACTAGGTAGCAGTACAAAGCAAATTCAGCGCGGCACACAGCATTCACTGTGTCATAAATGTGAAACGCGGGTTCTAATTTTGACGTATTGTATCTTTAATATCTGAAATACTAACTTATCGAGAGCTATATATAGCTTGGACATTATAAACATAAATAAGTTCGACATGTTTAGTTTTGCTTTGGTGAGATTTATAACTAACGTTTGATCAAATTCTGCTTTCCCGGCCAAATTTGGCTCCAAAGAAAGTGTGATAAAACATTAATCACATGCCTTCTCATGCGATATCAACATTTTCAAAACTCGGCAAGCCTCGTGATTGAAAATGTCGATATAACCCTCGGCAAGCCTCGGGAAATATCGAAACTTTCGCTAACTCGGCAAGCCTCGTGGGCGAAAGTTTTGATATCGCATGAGAAGGCATGTGATAAATGTATAATAAATTTCTTAATTAAAATAATGTCTGACACCGGTCCACTCTAACAGGTTCCGGCAAGACAGCAGCGTTCCTGATTCCCATCCTGTCCAACCTGTTTGAGAACGGACCACCCCAAGAACTGAAGGACGGAACCAGCATGGCACACAGAGTGTCACCTCTTGTTCTCATCCTCGCTCCCACCAGGGAACTTGCTAGTCAGATATTCGAGATGACGCAACACCTTTGCTACAGGTTACATTCTTACTGTGACCTCTCTGTTTTAAGATTTACGGCATATGGTCCCTGTAACCCGTAGTGGGGGAATGCAACGTCAATTAATGTCAGTATTCCATAAAAACCCCAAACTGACATTGACATTAATTGACATTAATTGACATTAATTGACATTAATTGACATTAATTGACATTAATTTGTCTTGAAATTTGAGATTATCATTATTCGATAAATATTCCAGATATTCACGTCTATGTAAGTTAGACCGGTTCAAAAAAACAAAATGTCCTTGAATAATTATGAGTATGTTCTTATCTGTTGATCCTTAGGTTTATAGACCACAAAAAAAATTTCAGCTTCCAAATCTTCCATCTTCGGTCCCCACCGGCCACGCCCATATTTTATTGGTTTCTTATACAGGTAAAATATCTAGAATCGGCTTTTTTAGTATGAAGGAGTAATGTTAGCTGTTTAAGATTCGTTATTCAAATATAAATGTCATGAAGGCATTTCGTTTAATGTGGGTTTTAAGTTCTGATGATGTTGAGAACCACGCCCTTGATGGCCACGCCTATTTAAGAAAATTAAATTTCGGAAAACCGTATTATTTTAGTTTAATTGTTTAATGATCTGAATTTTTTCACATTTCACCATTTCCATATGTGATAGTAAGTGAATAAATTGATGAATAAACGTTTTAAGTGCTAAAAATATGGTAGAGAACTACATAATCTCTGGTCGAAAAATATCGTGTCAATTAATGTCAGTATTCCAAAATTTTGCAAAACTGACATGACATTAATTGACATTAATTGACGTTGCATTCCCCCCCCCCCCCCCCCCCCCCCCCCCCCCCCCGAGTTACGCAGCAGCACTAGAATTGACGGTTGCATCCCCCCCCACCCCCCCCCACCCCCCCCCGTATGTTACGCCAGCACACTAGATGACTCCCTAGTAGCCGTCTACTCGCCGTATCTTCTACATTTAGAGGTTTAATTACCGTGAAGGAGTAGTACCCCGCAACCAGCCTAAATATCTAATGTGTCACGTGATGTAACGTCATTTCACGTGCCTTAATATCTTATGTAAGAATTAGTTTGTGATTGGACCATAATGAGTCACGTAATGCTAGGGCCCTCCTAAGGAATGTTATTACGTATATTACCCTAATTATTACACGATTAGAGGCTTTAGAAGATAGCTTATAATTGAGAACTTGTCTTGACGGTGATTTACAGTACATTATAATCATAAATTGTATAGCATGAGTTATTATAACCATGTTAAATTTTACAGCATATTATCTTGATTGTGTGTGGCCGCGTGTAATGTAGTATTGTAGGGGGATCTATTACATCATGCAAGTTTACATGTCACGTGTAATGTCACGTGGTGTGTGTTACTTGTCACGTGGTGTTACGTCATGTTATGTTGTGTTTATTACAGGTCCTGTGTGAGACCGTATGTAGTGTACGGAGGATCCAACATAGACAAGTGCATAGACCAGCTTTCTCTTGGAGTTGAGATTCTTGTAGCTACACCAGGACGACTCATTGACCTGTTGAACAGAGGAGAAGTTAACTTATCTATGGTTAGTCCTTTATCTATTTGTGTCACTCTTACTTATAACTGAACTACAAATTAACTACAAATTAACTTTTGAATAGTACCACATATGCGCTGACTAGTTAAATTAAACAATGTTTAATATAACATTATAGTGTTATTTTATAGCTGTGACTATTTGACAAGTTAGAATGCTAACTTAACTCTGTTACAGACAATTTTGTAGTGCTAACTAATTAACAATGTAACAGATAGAGTAGTTATATAATCAAACTGATAAATATTGTTGCAGGTTAAATTCCTAGTACTCGATGAAGCTGACAGGATGTTGGACATGGGATTCGAGAAGGATATCAGAACTATAGTAACTGATTACAAAATGGGTATCGCCGGCAAGCGACAAACTCTCATGTTCAGTGCTACATTCCCCAAACCTATTCAGGTACGTTATACTCATTTTATACTGTACACAGAATACATAACCAGTACTTTCCTTGTATTTCTGCTGCTAAAATATTTTCACCATGGGGTGTTAAGTCCATATTCATCGTAGTCCGATAGTTTCACTGGCACTGCATCTAAATACGACTTAACTCCTTGTATTTCAGCTGCTAGCTAAGGAGTTTATGGACGACTACATCTTCTTGACTGTAGGAAGGATAGGATCTACCAATGATATCATCACACAGAAACTTAACTATGTGAGACGAAATGACAAGATTCCTGAATTGCTTCGTGTACTTACAGAAGGTACTAATCTTATTAAGCTTTCAGCTAGGTTAAACATACATGGGTGGGGTCAGTGCGGTGAATTATTTTGACAACGAAAATTTTAATGCCAATCAGTGTTAGTCAATGAATGTCGCTAAATTATTACATGATTTATGTGTGTGACGGCGGCTTATTATAATGACATCATTCGAGAGCTGAGAACATTCTTCATTATTTTGATGATCTGTTCTTATCTCTGTGGATTGATGTGATTTTTACATCCATTTAAAAATGTATCGAGAGTATGTGGTCATGCGTGTATTACACGATATTTTGGAATGTTGTTGGTTTTCTTAAGAACAAAAAGTTTTTTAAACATTCAGCACACGTACAGTTCCGAAACACAATGAATAATGAACTGGGGGCCATCTTATGAACTTACATTCGAACGTTGGGACTCGGAGAATCTTTCGATAGAAATGATGTACTTACGTTTGAGTACTACTGTAGACAAATTCTTTATCTTTAAGGACCTCAAACGATTTAAATGGACTCTGTTTCTTAGAAAATCTCCCGATTCTCGATTGTTCGAGTCACAAAGGTCTTCTAGTTCTAGGAATCGCGCGTACAAAGTCTCACTTTTTAGCAATCACAATGTGAGTTTTGCGCGCGTAAAGCGCGCACTATCTTCCGGCAGTTGTAACGAGAAACAATTATTCTGTGAATCTGCAACCCGAGTCCTAATAATTTAACCCCGTGCAACGAATCTTTAAGCCGGATACTCCACTGGCTTACTAACAGCTGTTTATATTTATCCCATTTAAAGCTTTTTTAACCGTTACTGACTGTCTTCTCCCTTCAGAAACCAAAGACCGAATTCTCGTGTTCGTACGTACAAAGCACGATACCGAGAAGATTCAGGGAGTCCTAAAGGACGAAGGACACAGTGTTATCAGTATTCACGGTAACAAATCCCAGAGAATGCGTGAAAACGCTTGAACCAGTTCAGGAACGGTGATAAGAACGTTTTGGTGGCAACTGAGGTTGCAGCTCGAGGTCTCGATATCCCCAACATCAGTCACGTGGTCAACTTTGACATGCCTGATACCATCGAGAACTATGTGCATAGGATCGGTCGTACAGGTCAGTTATTCAGTAGGAATTATCTTATCTTGCACCTGTCAAAAGTTCAAGAAACTTCCTGGGATACACCTTCAGTTCATACTGTAAACATAGTACTATTAACTATTACTGTTATCTGGGTACAGATACATGCACACCAAAAACAGAAACAAACCTGAGATTTAAATGTGTTAATTGGAGACTCCATGATAAGAGTCCCGTATCATGAATTATTAAAGTTTCCAACAAGTTTACTGTATTACAGGAAGGATGGGTAACCCAGGACGTGCCACCTCGTTCTTCTGCGAGAGTGACTGGCACATCGCACCCGAACTAGCTGAGCTGCTGAAAGAGAGCAGCCAGGAAGTACCCCAGTTCCTCGCTAAGATGAAATACAACAACAGCACTGTATCAGGCGGCGGCGGTGGTGGACACAAGAAATCGTGAGTACTGCTTAAGGCCAGAGGGGGGGGGGGGGGTTAAAATTCGATTTTCCAGTTTTCACATATTTGATTAGAGCTGCTGGAGACGAACAAGAGGAGAAAAACAGGACCGAAATCTGACCTTGCGTTTTTAAGATATCGCGCGCCAAATATTGAGGTTTACATGTAATTACATGTAAAACTTTAACTTAAACTGTAAAAAGTTAAAACGCCCTAAGTTGAGAAGACTGGCCACACCCAGGAGCTGGAACTTGGCACAGGTGTTCCTTAGACTGTTTTACACAATTCTATTGTACAAAATTTTGATATTTGCTTCTGTTCTTGAGATATGAGGTTAACTTTACCCCAAATTCAACAGTTTTTCGACAGTTAACCTCATAACTCAAGAACAGAGGCAAATATCAAAATTTTGTACAATAGAATTGTGGGTGACAACCCAAGGAACACCTGTGCCAAGTTTCAGCTTCTGGGTGTGGCCAGTATTCTCAACTAAGGGACGTTTGTATGAAAAAACCTGTTTTGAGTAAAAAGAGTTTTAATAGTGTTTTTATTTCACTGCCAAAATCTCAAATTGTGCATTATTTTCCGTATTTAGTAGCGTCTCCATACAATTTTTGCTTTAAGGTGAGAAGATGTTTATTGAGATACTTTATGTTGGGAAAATCAATATCGTAAACCAAAATTTGTCTAAAAATGAGGTTAACTATCACGATATTATGTAGTAGTAGTAAAAATATGATTGTTAACCTCACTATAGACCATATAACAATGGAATTGGTTTATCAATATATTGTTAGACATGTAATGAAACATTTGCCCAGTGTAACAATTAAGATTTTGAGGTTAACATGTGATTGACTGGGCCGAGATTCAACAAATGAGAGGTTAACCTCATTTTTTAGCTATTTATGTGTGAACTCTTCTACTTATATATGGTCTGTCCTAATCACCTTTGTCTCATGATCATATTTGAGGCATTGGAATACAAATAGATACATCACTGAGATATTGTGGTACATAACAAAGTAAGAATCTTGTGTAAATAATTCTTAAACTACCAAATGGATATGTTAACCTCATTTTCAACACGTTTCTCGAGATAAAATGAAGTTAAATCAGCACTACATCTATTAAGAATTTTGTATGTCGTAATCTTACGATAAAAATAACAACTCTATCACCTAATCTATTTCGCTATACCTAAATTAAGAGTTAACCTTATTTAATCACGTTTGGATATTACTTTTTCTGATAATTATGAACCTAAAATTTAGAGTTTACATTTGCTGACCGAAAAAACAGCAGCTACAAATATGTGAATAGCAGCAATGTTTTTGTCATCGAAAATTAAATTGATTTAGAAAATAATATTTTGGTCGATTTTTTTGAACCCTTACCCCCCCCCCCCCCCCCTCTGGCCTTAAGAGGATAGATAGTGAAAGTGAAATTAGATAACAAGTGTAGTGATAATGAAAGTGAAAGTGAAACTAGGCACGTGCTAATGAGATTATTTCAGGTTCACTCAGGACAGGTTTGGAGGTCGGGACTACAGACGAGGCCCTCAGTTCATCCCCTTTTCAGATACTTAACACAATGAAGCCCCCCGGCGGAAAGGGGCTACGGGGTTCCCATAACCCCCTAATTCTACAACCCCGGTTGTTTAACTTTACAGTCATAAACCCCCCCTACACGTTCGTCCTAAAATTTTTCACCCTTCGAATTATCGAAACTTTAACAAAAAATAATTTTTTATTACTTTGAACAAGCAAATATTAAAAAACGACTAAAACACCTGCAACTCTTCTTGCTATTGAACTTTCTAATTTATGTTATTCCAGAACTCTCCGCAGATGCACCCATTTAACCACATGGGGTATGCGGGAAACCCCCATGCGTCACCCAAATTTACAACCCCAAAAAA